TAAAGAGCAAATGCTTTATCTGCCCTTCTCAGATATCTTTGGACTTCTAGTGAATTAAGAAGCTCTTCCCATTTAGAAACAAGTCAAAGATGAAAAAATCAAGACAACTATTATGTAATTTGTTATGACATCACATGTCCATGGTGGTGACATGCTGATTAGGATAATTTCAAACTTAAAAATTCTAGTTTTACAAAGTTCTGGTTTCAGATGTTTAATTACATTGACTTTCATTGTATTTCTAAAGGTTTTCACCCATGCGTCGAGATGTCCCTACAGACAGGTTAAGCCCCACCCACTGAACATGCAGCCCCGCCCACCTGTCATCTCATTGGTTGTACTCTGGTACCCCAACCCTTAGCCTAACCCTGTTTAACATGCAAGCAACATCACAATTTGACGTTCAGTGGGCGTGGCTTATTCCATCTGCAGTCTGCAGATAGGGGTACTACTGGCATGTGTTACTGCTCCAGTGGTTTAGCGAGCTTCACACATATACAACATTGTTTGAATCCCTATCTGGAGGATCATTTATTCGCCTCCATCCCATTTGCTTCACATTTGTTTTCATCATCAGATCAAATTAAGCCATAAAGGCCCAAAATATGTTGCAAACTCACTGTTTGCAGCCATAAAAGCGTCAACTCTTCTCGGGAGAAGTAAATTTATTCATGTATTCCTGAGATTAAGATATGAGACGAGAAGACCTCGCTTGCAGGGTTGCTCTGCATTAAGGTGCACTGTCTGAAGTTCGGAGAGTGAAGTCCAATCAAGTCCAAAACATGTCTTTCTGGACCTTACTATGTACACTTCTGTGCAGTCATGCTGAAACCAAACCAAGGAGAATTGATCAGATTGCCAGATGGGGAAGTGTCACTACAGAATAGACATCTCCACTGCTCTCAAGTCCAAGTGTGGGGTGCTTCATGCCACTGTATTAGATGTTTGCGTTGCACTTTCTGATATATGGCATCACTTCTGCTATGGAAACCAATAAAGGTCTCTCTACACTGTTCTGAAGGCCACAGAATTTGTACACTCAGTAAACAAAAAACAAACAAATTTGTGAATTAACATGATTTAATCAGATGCATAAACCCATGTTTCAATTCCATGAAGTGCCAAATTCATTGTTTTAAGTGCAGACTCTGTGAACCATTTACCTCAGTCACCAAGTTCTCTAATTTTACACAACCAACCATTTATGGCATAAACTGTCATTCATTTGCAATTTTTAAATAGCCACTGAGTGACTGGAGTCTATTTGTTAGTGAGGGTTTACAGGGCTGAATAAGTCGTAACACAGGTTGCACTGTATGACAGTTCCATGTTGGAATTTACTGAGCTTCTGAGAGTGGCCCATTCTTTTACTAAAGTAGGTGTTTGCTTTTATACACCCGACTGAAATATCTGAGTTTTATTATTTGGATAGGTAAATAAAAAAATTAACTATAAAATCTCAGTCTTTTTAGAATGAGGATCTACATTGGTATCCAAATGTTTGTGCACCCCTGTATATTGACATGATCTTTTGTGGAAAGTGTGCAAGAATTATTTAAACAAAATAACTCTCATCAGTCAGAGTCAGAGGGTTCTGCTAGGGCATACTGGGTGAAAGATGGAGTACACCATCTTTCATTAGTCCATCACAGAGCAACTCTCACAAAATCCCATGGGAAATTTAGAGTATCCAATTTACCTGATGCATGTTTTTTTGTTGTCGGGGAAACCGAGTACTGGAAAGAAACCCACGTAAGTATGGTAAGAACATGCAAAGTTCGCCTAGAAAAGTCGGATGTTAAAAGCAATTGAATTATTTATCCACATGACAACATGAAACATGCTTTTCATAAGTTGAACAGAAAAAGCACATACCAGTTGAAGTCTGAGACTGAGTTGAAATAACTTGTGTCTCGTTTTCATGAAAGCCTGGCTTTCCATTTGGAGAAAGTCCGCTGTGTTGATCCCCATGATCACAATCCATTGTTCAAGTTCCTTTTAGCGCATTCTTTGAAGGTTGGAGAAAACATAAAGATGCAGACTGAAAGTGCCATCAAACACTCTACACGTGAAATAAAGTCAATGTGCTGTTGCTTTTGACGGTTGTTAATTATTAATGATAAATGAATGCCAGTTTGACACGTTCACAGACGTGCGAAGGCTATTTTTTTATTTTGTGTAAGTGTTAAATATCAAATACAGCATTTGCTGAAATACAAACACTAGCATAAAAAGTACTGATGGAGCGAAAAGTGCTGGAGTCATTAATCCATTATTAATCTCTATCCATTTGGCAAACGTGATAGGAGGCACCTTTGATGTAAAGAGGGTAATAAATTTCAGCAGCCTATTAGCGTGGTCTTTGCTTACCTTCAGACAGAGACGAAGAACTCAAGATTTCAAAACCTACGACCGAATGAAACATTTTTTATAAGAATATTAGAAATAATAAAAACAGCATTAAATACAGCATAGCGACTGACAGAACTTGATGTATGTAACGGAAGAATGTTGTGTGTGTTTCAGATACTTATTCGTACTGTTTTTTTTAAGCACTTAATAATAGTTTATACATTTGAACGATGCACTGACTTGAAAGCACTTCTGGAACTTGTAACAGTGACGATAAAGATTTATTGTGTTTATTCTGTTCAGAAGTCCTAAATGATGCAATTAATTTTACATAAAGCACTTTTCTGAATCCTATATATTTTTAATCCATATTAAAGCATTCAATGATAAAGATACTCTCCCGAAAGAAAGACCTTTCTTATACATGTTTAATTTTCTGAAAATTATGCAGAAATTGACATTCTGCAGTATAAATTAATTGTATATATTACACGATATATAGACTAGTCACTGTTACAATAGTGTACTATAGTACAAAATGATATTTTAATTGGGTTTTTTTAGTTCTTTCTGCGAAGTTTATAATTATTAAAGATAATGCAGTTGAAATGTAGGATTAATAATAAAAAAAAAATCACGTTGGTTAATAAAAATGCACCAACCTTGACTGTGACATCCATCTCACCGCTCATCACAGATTGATCTTGGAGATCTTTGCTTCATTGTAATCATTCATTAGCTAATGCGCGTGGTGTTGATAGGACGATATGCACCACACCCCCAGACCCCCCCCCCCAATCTTACGTTATTGAAGCAAAAATGACTGTAGGGGTTCAATCTTAAACTGACTGGCAGGAGGCGGCAGCGCCGGGTCACATGATCTTAATAAAAATAATATATTTAATTCAGTTACCTTTTCTAAACTCAAAACAATTATAGTCTGCAGAGCACAGTGCTTCGTAATAACTATATTTTTGTTTTTCTGGGGGGTTTCGTTTACAAATCAAATTTTTTACCTTTCAAGACCCCCCCTCCCCCCGGAACTTTCCGCTCTGAGTTGGGGCTTTTATTTTGAAAACAACCCTTTGCCTAAACAAAATAGAGCTGGACCGACGCTGTTAGCTTCCAATAGCATAACTTAGCATATTAGCTAATTGCAACAATTCCTGATATCTTTGGCTGGTTGTATCACCCCGCCATTTACTCAAAAATATTACAGGAATTATATAACTCGAAATCTGTTGGAAGACCATCTAGAAGGCGGCTAAAGCGATGGTAAGTTGTCCTTTGTAATCGGTAACGTTAGCAAATTAGCAGTGTTAAAGGTAATATCATTTGGTTAAATTTAGACTAGTTCATAATAGGTGATATTTAAATTGAAATTTTTGTTACTTCAATTTTAATTTTTAAAACTATATATGTGTGTGTATTTAAGGCTTGAGTTTAACATTTGAAGTCTGAAAGTGAAATCATACTCTTGTTTGTTTTAACATTAGTCCAATGTCACGACCGAAATCTTATATGAATAAAATAAAATATTTTAAGCCACTTTTTCTGTTCTGTACTAGAGTGTCTAGAACACATTTAAAATACACACTGTGTTTCTATTTTATTTGTGAGTAACGTGTTCATTTGTAACGCTCTAATTCTAAACTGGCCGTTTAATATTAACTAGAGTTTGCCTTTGTGTTCATAGGACAGCGAGATGTCTGACATGGACCAGATCCCCTCCACCTTACAACTTGGAGAGAATGCTCCTCTCTACTGCATTTGCCGAAAATCAGATATTAACTGCTTCATGATGTAAGACAAACTCACTCTATGTGATTCACAAATCTACATAAATGAAACTAGAGCATAATATGGATAAAATCTTGTCCCTGACAGTGGTTGTGATAACTGCAACGAGTGGTTCCACGGGCACTGTATAAATGTGACTGAGAAGATGGCCAAAGCTATCCGTGAGTGGTACTGTCAACAGTGTCGGAGTAAGTGAACTATGACCTTTTTGTCTCCTCTTCATATATGTTGTCCTGAATTATTAACAGATAGGAGAATATTCTTGATTTCTTAGAAATGGATCCATCGCTTTCAATACGATATCGGAAAAAGAACCGCGATAAAGATACTGAGAAGGAGAGGGTTGAAAGGCGATCCAGCACCCCCGAGTACAAGATTGATAAGCGCCGTGGGTCCAAGGTAAGTGCTCTGAAAAGCTATGTAACAATTAAGGTTTTGTATCCTTCGGGGGATGCAGCCTATCCCACCTCCTGTGGCTATGGCTTTGGAGGTTCACGTTACCATTATTAACGTCTTTTTTTTTTTTTTTAAACACTATGGCATTGTAAAACGCTAATAAAGTATCCCTTGAACTTCTATCCTTAATAAAATCTGTTACAAATTCAAATGTATTTGCTCACCATTTTGTGTGGATTCTATTGGAGGAGCGCAACAAATTTGCCTTGAAAACCATACTCTGAAGGATACAGAACTTGGATCATTTTAAATTTGCATAATTTTTGTTTGATAATGGTTTCCCACTAATATAATGATACATTTATAATAAATTTTGAGTCACTTCACTCTTGAATAGCCATCAGTTGTAATTAAAATGGAATTTTTTTTTTTACTTACACTACGAAAACCATGGCTTGTTGGTCTAGGGGTATGATTCTTGCTATGGGTGCGAGATTTCGCTGTTTCAAATCCTGTACGAGCCCAGCTTTAGGGCGGCACAGTGGGGCAGTGGGTAGCACTGTGGCCTTCCAGGAAGAATGTTGGTTCGAAGCTCGCCAGTGACCTTCCTGGAAGGTGTTTGCATGTTCTCCCTGTGTGGGTTTCCTCTGGGTACTCCGGTTTCCCCCACAATCCCCAAAAATATGTGGATAGGTTAATTGAATAATCTAAATTCCCCTTAGGTGTGCATGTGTGTGTGAATGTTGACCTGTGATGGACTGGCGAACTGTACCCCCGCCTCTCGCCCAATGTGTGCCGGAGATAGGCACCGGCAGACCCCCGCGCCCCTGAAAGGGAATAAGCGGGAATGAAAATGAATGAACTACGAAAACTTAAGATTGTCACACACACATACCAATTTTTTAATTGTTTATTCACAAAAATAACTATTTAGCACCTTCCTAGATATTATTATTTTTTGTTTTGTGACAATTTAATCAATTTGGACAAGCTTGATGTCAAACAATGTTTCGCTGTCCTATTAACCTGATACAGATCATTTTAGGGGAAAATAATACATATTGTTGAGAAAAGTTCTTTTAAGAAGTTTTACTATAAAGTAAAATATAGCAATAGTTCAACCATATTTATTTACTTGGAGACTTTGGGGTTGACAGAAATCATATAAATGGTGTATCTACTCTCTTCAGTTAACTTTGTATAGCTTTTCCATAAATCCTGTTGTTGACCTTATTAATTAATAAAACAAACAAAATTTTCTGATATAACATACAGGCAGCATACAGGGCCTTATTTATGCACTTTAAATCAGAAGCCTATTAAAATAATTACTTGTAGCACAGACAATGATTTGAATGAAGTCAAAGCTTTCTGCACAAAAACCTCAAAGGGTCCCCTTTGCATAAAAGAGACTACATTTATGTTTAATAAGGGACACTTTTCAGATAGATATGTAAATCCAGAGCATGAGAGATTAATAAAAGGCCTGTGGTCATTAACTGTTCCAGGTGAAGCGCTCTGCACGAATGTGTGGTGAATGTGAACCCTGCACTCGGACAGAGGACTGTGGTCACTGTGACTTTTGCAAAGACATGAAGAAGTTTGGCGGCCCCAACAAGATTCGACAGAAATGTCGTCTACGACAATGTGATGTTCGAGCTCGGGTGAGTGACTTCATAGTCCATTTGCATATTGTTGTTTGTGGTTGTTTATACTCCCAGGCTCACCATGTTTTGTAGAAAATGCTGCGTGTCCGGGATGAGGAGTTTTCGCTGCGGGAGAGGAAGGAGAATATAATGCACAGAAGCAGAAGATACTCTTATGATTACGATGAGACTGATGCGGAGCCTTATGAACGATATAAGGACAGAAATGCGGTAACTACTAATAGCTCTCAACCACAAGCACTCAGGATGTAGATCGATCTCAAATCTTGTCATGTTGTAAGAGCTCTAATTAGCTTCTTAGTGATTTAATACTTAGAAATGGACACTTGTCTTTTTTTTTTTTTTTTTTTTTTCAGTCTTGGGGAAGTGAGGATGATGATGCCCCATATTACAGTCCTGTCCCCCGGAAGAAAGCCATTAAAGTCAAGCACGTCAAGAGGAGAGATAAGAAGTTTGACAAAAAGGTTTATTAAGTAATAGTTTTAACTCTAAACAATGTAGAACTTTTACAATAACTTTAACGGTGCTTATGTTTCACAGAAGGAATCTCGTCGTCACAAGCAGAAACAGAAACACCGTGATCGTTCAAGACACAGTGAAAGAGGAGACTGGAGACATGGAGGAGGTACTCAGCAGTGCCTGGGGCCAAACTGCATCGAGCCGGCACGTCCAGGCTCCAAATACTGCTCTGAAGACTGTGGCATGAAGTTGGCGGCCAAGTAGGTTACTTTATTAAGTGCTGTCAATATGCATAAGATTATACAGACAACTATAAATAACTTTTTTTTTTTTTTATAAAAATTATGATTTAGTTTTCCATTAAATTATTAAATGGTTCTAGATGGGATGGTTCTAAGTGCGTTCTTGCATAAAAATAATTGATTTTGTCTGGCCCCGTGGTGTTGTGGATGGTGTTCCGGACATATATACACTGTTGGGCAATGCAAAGATTTTCGCAGCCTTCTCCCCTCTTTCTACCCACTTCTCTTCCTGTCATTTCTACGGTGCTATCTGTTCGAATAAAGGACAAAAATAAAATGTTTAAAAGAAAATTATTTGAGGGCTTTAATTGCCATCAGCAAACCCTGTAACTCAACTTGAAATGTTTATTTTTAATGACCATAGGCTTATACACACTAATCTGAATTTTCGATCTGAAGTTTCGTGCGAGAACACACCTTGATTAACAACCATGGGTGCTAACAGGAGCTCACACTTCTGATGGAACAGGTGGTGCCAACGAAAATGAGTTTGGCTTTGCCGTATTGGATTGGTTTTTCACAAGGAGAACGACCAATGAAATCTGGCTCTTTTAATGAAATGTGTTAGACGTAAAAGAAGCACTCTGTGGCACTCATCCCACATTTTCATAGCAACTTTGTACAGGAAACAGGAAAGGAGAAGAAGAAGCAATTGTCAATTGTCTTGTAAGAATCACTAGTACTTAGAATCCAGGAAGAAAAACAAAATGTGTTATGATTTATCCAACTGTTTAGACAACTACATTGTTCTTAAGTCGAATATGCAAAAGTTAAACAAACCATCAAACACTGCTCCAGTTGATTGTTTTGCGGAAGTGTGTGTTTTCCTGAATTGCATCACTCTCTGGAGTAAAAGCTTGAATTCGAAAATATTGGTGAACACGGTCCTGGTACAATTTCTGCAGTGAACGCGGGTGTGTGCATAGTTGTGTGGCGCAGAGTGCATCTGTTGTGCTACTTTGGAAATTGCTTTAAAATGACAGCGGCTGAATGCAAAGATCTCAATTATGTTTCCGTAAAACTAAAACATCCTACGGCTAAGGTGTAATGCCAATTATTTGTTTTTCTTCTGCTTGATGCAGTTTTTTAGCAGCTATTTGATGATTACATTTATTTTTACGAATAGACAGAAGATGTTTGGAGACTTCACAAATGCGAAAAGTAATGCAATGTTCCTTGTCTGTTCATGTTGGCAGTCGCATCTACGAGATCCTACCACAGCGTATCCAGCAGTGGCAGCAGAGCCCCTGTGTAGCGGAAGAACAGGGTAAAAAGCAGCTGGAGCGTATTCGGCGTGAGCAACAAGCAGCACGTATGCGGCTGGCGGAGATGGAGCGCCGCTTCCATGAGCTCGAGGGCATCATCGCCAAAGCCAAGCAGCAACTTGTCCTACAGGACGAGGACGTGAGTTGCTAAAGTCATTTAAGTTGAATGTGGGTTTCTGAGTTCTGCTGTAATCTAACTGTGTGTTATCCTTGTCGAGGCCAATGAAACGGAGAGTGAGGACACAGACCTGCAGATCTTCTGTGTGTCCTGCAGTCACCCCATCAACCCCAAGGTGGCACTGAGGCATATGGAGAGATGCTATGCCAAGGTAAACATACAGCTAATGATCATGTTCTAATCCATGCTGTGAGATCAAACTCAACGTTTGACTTTTATTTTTGCAGTATGAAAGCCAGACGTCTTTTGGTTCCATTTTCCCAACAAGAATTGAAGGGTAAGAGCTACAGAGTGCAACATTTGAAGACTTAACTTTTTTTTATTATTATTTATTTATTTTATTATTATTATTATTATTATTATTATTAAAGTGTTTTATTTGGGTTCAAATAGTTTAAATAATTTAACTGTTCATGTATAAATAGTTCCACCTGACATTGTGTCACATTTCTCCAACTTGATAATAATAATTACTTTAATACATTTTATTAATATTGTACCTCTCCAACTGCTCATTAATTTCTTATCAAAACTCTATGCATTTAGGCATGTAGACATGGTCAAGACGATCTGCTGCAGTTCAAACTGTCAGAATGGGCAAGAAAGGTTATTTAAGTGACTGAATGTGGCATGACAGACAGGCTGGTCTGAGTATTTCAGAAACTGCTCATCCACTGAGATTTTGACACCCATTTCTAGAGTATGATTTTACAGAGAATGATCAGAAAAATAGAAAATATTCAGTGACCTGCAAATCTGTTGGTTTATAAATAAATAAATAAATTAGAGTTCAGAGGAGAGTTGCCAGACTGGCTCGAGTAGATAGAAAGACATTTGATTTAGGCCTGTAGCTATTGAATATTTTCATAATTGAGTATTCTACTGAAAATTTTAGCGAGTAATTGGACAAAACACATTTTTCTTTAGTTAGAGAGCATTATCAAACATGCATGAACAGATATGACGGGTGTCTCAAAATTAACCAATTGTTTTTTTGTTTTTTTTTTAAACGACAATATGCAACGCGTACATGCAATATTTTCGTTTTGTTTTACATATTTACTTCTTTAAGCTGTGAACAACTGCCATGAACTTTGATGAATATTAATGTGGTATACATTTTTGGTTTAAAATAAATCAGATAAATATGTGCATTCTCTAAATAGATGAAATAATTTATGACACAACTTAATTTCAGAAACAAGTCCAAACATAGTTTAAATGTCTTTAGTCTTTAGAGGAGTTAGCGGTCGCAGTGAAGGAAGGTAAGAATGTCAACATGCTCAGGATTTGATGTATGCGTTGCAATGTTCCCTGCTCTTGGAAACGGAGGCTTTTTCTCTTTTGTTCTTGGTCTCTTTCTTCGTCGCTATTTTATTGCTCACATACATTATGCTGGCCACACTAGTCAGTGCTCACATTCTCAGATCTCAACGCGTCAACCCTTGAGGCAGATAGGCTACAGCAGCAGCAGACCACACAGAATGACTGCCTGGTCTGATGAGTTTCGATTTCTGCTGCAACATTTGGATGCTAGGGCAGAATCCATACTGGCTTGTACCAACAGTTCAGGCTGGTTTTGGTGGTGTAATGATGTAAGGGATATTTTCCTGGGACGATTAGGCCCTTTAGTACCAATCGTGCATACTGACC